AGGAAAGCAAGGCTATGTGAAATTCAATGGAAGCGTCAGCTCAACTCATATCATTGTGGGAAAATTCTACTGCTTACACTAAATAGGGTGAATACATCTCATTACACCAATTTTTAATGCCAAGCTTGGGAAAAAGGCTGCTTCTCACTTATGGCCCGCATTCGAGCCTTTTAGAAAACTATACCTTTTCTGATTCAAAGATGCTCTTAATACTTTTATTTGGCTAGAATCATCGGAGGCTTCTTGTAGCAGCACAAGCTTCACTTAGACCAATTAATCTATTGTACAGATGACTTTTACTAGGTTCTAGCTATAGCAACCTTTTGTATTCTTTGCTCAGGTGAACTTCTACAAGGAGCCAGCGTTTCTAAATAGAAGCATTTGGGATCCCTTTGATCCGATTCTGATTTCCGAATGCCTTTTCGCAGCTGCAAACATCTTCTCAACTCTCAAATTGGTCTACATTTTCACGGTCAGCCCTCAGCTGGGACCAATACAGATTTCCCTCGGTCGCATGTTGAATGATATCATGAAGTTTTTCTGCGTCTATGTTCTCGTCTTGGTGGCGTTTGCGTTCGGTTTGAATCAGCTTTACTGGTTTTACGCACAACAGCGCTCAAAACGTTGCGATGACGTCATGTTTACTTTGGGTGAAGGCAAAGATCTCTATGACTATTGTTCTACACGAGGATCCTACTTCACAAAGTAAGTAATACCGCTTTTATCTGTTCAAGGTAGGGTTAAAGTTGACAGTTTGTAAATGAAATACGTGAATGAATTGGCGTGATTATAAAGACTGCCTTAGTTCCGAAGAGTATAGCATAATAAGATTAGTTTAAAGTTATTTTTGACTTCAAAGAGTACAAATTGTACAGCGTCCTCTGCAATAGCCATCATGATAATTTCCAGAATCACACCATGAATTTGGTACATTCCAAGACGTTTTGCCAGTATTGTAATGAGTAATTGCTAATCTCATTAATTGGCTACAGTTCATCAAGGAGACAAGTGTATTTGTCAAATTGAGACTTTTGTATTTGACCAGCTTTGACTTTATTATGGCATAGACAAGGCTCATGGATGATGGCGACTGCCTTGTAAGGGGAACTTCTGGGAATCTAACAGATCTACGGTTGAAGGATGGAAATAATTATGACTTTTCTGAAAAGGAGGCTGGACGAGGTGCATTCTTCAAGGTCCCCCTGGTAAAACGACTAGTCTGCAAGAAGGGATAAGACCAATTCTCTTAAGCAAAAGGTGGCTGCAAACAAAATGGAAGGTACTCTAGCTTGATCCCTATTACTATGAAATTACTTAGAATATTGAAATACATTTGAAAATACATTTAAATCAAACGAAATTAGTAATAATGTAGAATAATTAATTTATTGAAATTACAATTAAACTTATTTTCATAAAATAAATTAAAATATAGCAATTTCAAGATGACCAAGTATCTCACTTAAGCCTATATTTCACGAAAACGTCTATTTGCTGGCAGTAATTTAAGAAATGAAGGAGAATGCCAGGTTAATTTACAAGAAATTTTAGATAGTGAGACTTAAGCAATTAGCACTCAGAGCAGCTTCGCACTACCCTAATGCCAAGAAAATGTAGACTCTGCGAACAGATTGGCACGAACTTTTTAACTATGAGAGTGTACTTGGA